TATATATATATATATATATATATATACTTATATATGAGGCGAGATATTTTGCTTTAATTTATATTAAAATAGGTTTGAAATTTATTAAAGCTGGCTTGAAATTGATGTAATAAATATATTTTTTTTCCATATAATTCCTTATAAGTGGAATTTTCGCATTTATCTTTATTATTATATCAACCATGCTTATTCTATATATTTTTAATTCATGAACAATTTTTTTAAATGTTAACAAAAAAAAAATTAACTATTTTCTATAATAATTGAATGAGAGTTATCTATAATTGAGTTGACTGATCATCACAAAATATATTTTTTCCATTGTGATAACTATTTTAAGAATGATTTTTTTTCTATCCTATAAATAAAATATTAAGGGTATTTATATACATGTTATAATATTCTTATATTTTTATATGTCTCACATCCAAACTTCAATAATACTTTAATCATTAAAAAAAATTGTGTGAAGACGGGCTCATGAAGACATAGCAATTATTTAATATCTTAATATTATATAAAAAATCAGAGCATACACATATAATATAAATAATAGTTAAGAGAGACCATAATTTTCTATGAGAAAAACTTGAAAGTGGAAAAAATCAAGCTAGCCTAATCAAAATCATATAATATAAGCTTGTGAGTATAAATAGAGACTATTGTCTCACCGATGTGAAGGGTTAATAAAGGCCCTCTAAGTGTGTTTTCCATATATAGATGAATTTGACGTAGAATAGATGGGAACGATTACTACAGAGATTGATTGCTAAAACTTCGGTACGTTGACTTCAGGGTGTGTTATTGCACAATATTCAGTGGACACTACGTGCTTCGTTATTTCACAATATACGTCGTTAATTTGTGTGGGACTTCGTTGCACAGTACATCGTTACTCTGCATGAAATACATCACTACTTCGTAGGGCCCACCAATTGGAATGAACAGGGGGGTCGAAGATAGTGGATGGCTGCCGACGAGCAGTGGTCGATAGCTATGGGGGTGATCCTCGGGTCTTTGAATCCAAAACAACTCTCAAATTCCACTCCTCCTCCAAGTCCAGGTTTCTCTCTAACTCTTGGGTTCCTTTTATAAAGTGAGTGTGACTCTATTTATAGAGTTTGAAAGTGACATCCTATGCAAATAAGACAAAAATTTGGATTGCTCTATCGAATGCCCCATAATAATTCACTTGATTTGATAGTGTTTTTATGGACATTTGATTACTTTGAAAATGTTGATTTTGAGTGATATTGGACTCTTTGGAATCATCTTATCAAGACGCTCCATTTGATAATAAGCTTGTCGGATTTGAAATTCATTTGATTCTTCAACTTACCACTGAAAACTTCCAAAAATAGTTTAATGGATTGATTTTGACTTGATTTGATTGGATCAGTTTGGGTGTTCTTTGGTTCATCTCATCAATCTCTTCAATTTGACTGTATGTTGACTGAAATCGAAATCCCGAACGACTTTTAATTTGAGTTTGAATGTTCTTTGTTTAGAAAATACTTAAAAATTCTTACTATTCACATTAAATGATAAAAATTTACTGATGATGTATCAATAACGAATAATACATTTTCTTATTAATGAAGCATGCGTTTTCATTTGTAAGATTTGATGCAATTTACTCCAAAATATTATTCAGCAAAACATCAATATTAGACGTTAAATATATAAATGCATAAGAATTAAAATGCATAAATAAAAACTTGGGTAAATTTATCCTATACAGACTTGATACGAATTTATTTATCTAATTTGTTAACTATAAGAAAAACATAAAACATCACTACCGTACACTCAAATATTTCATGAAATTTAAAATAATTAAATTGAGCAAGAAGAATAAAATTATGGAACTTTATAGATTCATAAAAAACATTCTCTAGGTTAATTATTAAATCAACAGTCATAATGAACTCATAAAAAATTATGCCAAGTTCATGAAAATCATTATATTCTCTCAAATCATACTGTACTGGTCATCACGAGCGTCAAAAATTGACTTGAAATGCCAACTCAATTTGATCTTGACTCGAAATATTTTTTGAGTTGACCCAATTTATTTTTAGTTTGGGTCATGGTTAAGAAAGTTGATAAGTTTAATGTTTTTGAATCATGTTCGGGTTGGCATGCCAACTTGAAATTAAACTAAAACTAACTCACTTGTTGAAATTAACTCGAAATTTATCTGCAGACCTAAAATTAAACCGATATTGACTCAAAATAAACTAAAATATAACACAAATAGCTTTTATACTAATGTAAAATGGGTTATACTGGCTTATGCAAAGTTTTGTTTGCCAAATATTAAAGCGCACTTCCCAAAGTCTTAAGTGTATTATTCATTGAAGGCTAATGTGCAATTGTCAAAGGTCAAAATTTACTCTTCCCAACTAAAGTACACTCATTAAAAGCAGAACTGCCACCATCATAGGTGAAGATGTACTCACCATGACTAATTTAATATTCATGTTAGGTTCAGATCAAGTAGTTTTATATAAAATCAATTTTCGGGCGAGCCTTCAACTCAAACTGTGAATTTGATTTGACAATCTAAGAAATATTCCAGGCATCACATGCCACAACCTCCATTGTTACCGCTTGACACGTATGCATCTCCCACCACCTACCGCCACATAAAAAATGCGACTATCAATTACTGGCCACCAATCATCACCTATAGTTATTGCAACCAATCGACCTTATCATTAGACAACAATTGTAATGTTTTACATTAACTTTAGTTTGTTCAAGTTAATTCAAACCAAACAAAAAGAGCTTTACTCTCAAATTTACTTTACACCATTTTCTCGGAAAAAAAAAAACAAATATTTTACATCAATTAAATAACTCTAAAATATTAGAATTATTTGAAATATATAATGCTTTCCAAAAGGAATATTTATTCGGCTCTTAATCGGCCGTCGCGGCGACCGGATCCGTAAGGCGAAGAAACATTTTACCGCAAGAGGCGACGAGGTTGACGATGGGGCTCTTGAAGATCCCGTTCTTACTGATCTCGCTCGCCGCTTTCTCATCCACTCCAGCAGCCGCGCTAAAAAAACGAGGTAAGACGGGGATCGAAGTATTTTGGTAAATAGCTCCACATTGATCTACTCGATTCTTCGCCGTCCGACACATTTCGTTCGAAAAAGTTATTTTTAGGGTTTGCAAGTTATATGTGATTTAGTTGAATGCGAGTTTCGAATAGGAATCGTTATAAAGGCTCAAATTCGATGCCGATGCCTATTTGTTCTGTAGTTGTTTGCTCTATAGTTGTTTGCCAATGCTTCATTCTCGTTAAAATGGTTTAACAGACGGATTAATAGATTCAATGAATTGTTTGGAGATAGTTAGTGTGAAAACGCGGCTAAGATGCTAACTCAATGTAGAACATAAGAGCAGAGCCTAGCGGTAAATTGAAATTTATCTGAAGAATATGATTGAGAAAATCCTGATTTGATGGTTGACAGGGGGTTATTGACATAAATGTTACTAATTTTACTTAGAATTGTAAATCATGCTGAAATTTTTAAATAAGGAGTATGAGACTGTGATTTGTATCTTTTGCCAACTCATGATTGCCGGCCAGCTCGAGGGTGCTTCTTGTTATGCGAGGGAAGAGATTATGTATGGATCTTATACGTTTGCTCTTCTTTTTTCTTAACTTATATCTGCACTTGATCTTTATCTTGAAAGGAATTTACTGCCCTACAATACAGGTTAGCAGCGAAAACAGAGAGAGAAATACAGGGAGAATAATGCGTTGATTCACTCAGGTAAAGTGATGCTAAAAAAAGCATACGGGTACAGTAACAGTAAAGGTAATTACAGACAACTAAAGATATCAGAGATCAGAATGAATGGCTGAGATGAGCTGAGGTGGTTTCTACTGTACGTTAAAGATGACACCAGGTCAAGTAATGTGGTAAGTTATGCTACAAGTGTATTCTTATCACCCCCACATGCTAACGGATGGATCGCTGATAGTTAGCTTGTTTCGAAGCTTGTAGTAGCAAGGTGTACGCAATGTATTGGTGAAAATGTCAGCAGGTTGAAGGTTGATCATCAGTTGGTATATACTTGAGAACAAGCTCCTTGGAAATGATATGTTCCCAAATGAAATAATAGTCAATCTCAACGTGCTTGGTTCTGGTGTGGAAAACTGGATTATGCGCTAGAGCCATAGCTGAAGTGCTGCCACAATGAATACGAGACGGAGAGATTGTGGAAATGTGAAAATCATGTAACAATTGTCGTAACCAAATGAGATTAGTGGCTGTAGAAGATAGGGCTCTGTATTCAGCTTCAACTGAGGAGCGTGCCACTATTGGTTGTTTCTTGAAACATCAAGAAATAAGGTTGGGCGCAGTATCCAGTAACAAAACCATGATCATGAGTGTCACTAGCCCAGCTGGAGTCTGAATAGGCATGTAGAGTAATAGTTCAAACTTCAAGTGGAAGGCGAAGTGTAAGAGTTCCTTTAATATACCGAAGTAGTCTTTTTAACAGTTGAAAATGAATGGATAGAGGATGATGTAGATGCTTGGATTGGTTGTTAACCACAAACAAAATGTCTAGCCTTCTGTTAGTGAGGTACTGGAGCGATCTGACCAAGTGACAGAAGTGAGTTGGATAAGAAAAAAGTTGTTGGGAGTCGCTTTTTACCTTGGACGAAACAAAAAATGGATTCGGTTGAGGTTTACAGTCAATCATACTCGCTTTATGTTGGATGTTATTAGCATAGGTAGTTTGGGATAGGTGAAACCCATTTGCGGTGTGCTGCATTTGAATGCCGGGGGAGGTGGGAATCGGGTAGATATGTTGCTCCTATTGCAGATATGTTGTCAACTAGTGTTTTGATCTGAGTTAGGCATTGTACCATAGTGAAGTTCTACATAGATACATTATGATGTTTATTCTTCAGCTGGATTACTTTAGATCTGTTGTTATCTTGCAACCTCTTCTAAAGAGTAGTCCAAATTTGAAAGCAACTATCAAGAGTGACCACATACGGAAGGATAGTAGGAGAGATTGTTGAGGAGATGGATGCAACGAGGTTTTTATCAACCAAAGTCAGGCGATGGTCGCTATGTAGATCCATCAAGAAAGTCGAACTAGCCATTTGCTTTAACTATTTTGAGGATTTGGACCGCTAGGTAGGGTAGTTGTTGGTGGAGAGTGAGGTAGTAACCACAATTTTTATATTAGTCATGAGAAATTTTAGGGATCGAGGGATCACCACATTTGTGAGGGAGAGGGACGCTATAGCTTCTTGGAGTTGAGAAGTGACCGAGTCTTCCATCAAAGTACCGCAAAAGCTCTGATACCATGAAAGGACTTTACTGCCCTGCAATACAGGTTAGTAGCGAAAACACAGAGAGAAGAACAGGGTGGAAAATGCATTGATTCACTCAGGTAAAGTGATGCTCAAAAAAGCATACGAGTACAATAACGGTAATGGTAATTATAGACAACTAAAGATATCAGAGATCAGAATGAATGGCTGAGGTGAGCTGAGGTAGTTTTTACTGTGCGGTAAAGATGACACTATGTAAAGTACCGTGGTAAGTTATATTGTAGGTGTATTCTTATGATATCTAACATAAATTATTTCTTTTCATACAATGCATTGTATGTTAGATGGCATTCTATGTTCTTCTGTCATTGAATTTTCCTTTCTCTTACCATGTGTTTGTTCTTCATATAATTTATTTTGATTTTTTTTTGGTATTGAGTTTTTCTTTCTGTTTTAGGCTTCCAGGAAATGGATGGTACACTATTTAGCTGGCTGTTACACAAGGACTCCCAACCTCAAAAAGTGTATGTTTTTTCTGGGAGTGCTGTCTCTTGTGATTCATTTATCCTGTTCTATCTCTCTCTCTTTTTTTTTTTTTTAAAAAGGAAGATTTACATACACACCACTCATTTCTTATGTATTTACATTTCTAACACCTAAACTTCAATTGTTACATACAAACAACCTTATGTTTGTATGAAAAGGTATATTTCATTTTTAAAAAGTTAAAATAGGGGTATTTCTGATGTGTTATGAAACATTTGGCTGTTATGAATGTAAAAAATAAAGTTTAGGTGTTATATATGTAAATATATAAGAATTGGGTGGTACGTATGTAATTGTCCCAAACAAATGTTAATGGCTTTGATCACCTGCTTTTTACGTGGTTCGCAGGGAGTCTCTCTCTCAGGGATACATGAGTAATGTCGACCTTAAAGAGGCTATCATAGAAATTGGTCAAAGATGCCATCATATCTCCAATATTTATAGGTATTCTTACTTTAAATTGGTGGTTATTTATTTATTTATTATTTGGTTGGAACTTCATTGGGGGTTAGAACAGCTAGTTTTATCCATGTGAAGGCCACTATTGATCTAATGTTTATGTTTCTTTAGCAATCTGTTGTTCTACTAGATATTGAATCAGTTTGCATGAGCTTCATATGGTTGTTTCATAATTCAAGATCGCAGTCCACAAAAAACTGAATTACAATACAATGTTTTTCATGAATTCTTCTAATTTAGCTGACATTGTTTTGGTTCTCTCTTTGAGTGGTTCCTGATCTTGTCTTCCAGCATTGGGAAGAGCGTGAAGGGATTTCCGCTGGTAAAATTTCAATATCCATATGGATGAATAAAGCTGATTTCCTTGATTTTGCAATGTTGAAACTATTCTTGGTCATTTATTGATTTATATTTTGTTATTATCTCTTGCAGCTAGTAATAGAATTATCTGACAAACCGGGCCAGGAAGAAGCTGAGCCTGCATTCAAAGTTAGTGACATATTTGACTCTTTTGTTGAAATTATTGACTTATGTGTTTGCATTTCATTTTCTCTCGAAGTCATTATAAAAACAATAATTTCTAACTTTTAACTAAGTTTCGGCCCATTCATTACTTATTTTTTTGTTGACTATTTGTAACCTTCATGTATACATGCATCCTTCACCTATTAATGTGAAAGTAGTAAATTGAGTTTCTACATGTAATTCAAGTTCTTTAATGAAGCAAGTTGGCACAGGTTAAATGTTTAGGTGTCCACAACCTCCATATAAAGATTTGAAATAAGAAACAAACTTCATGGTAAGTGGAAGCAAATTGCAGATATCAAGTAGTCTCATGCTTTGTAGTTTGCGGTAGTCTTGTGCACTTATATGGCCTATAGTATTTCAAGTTTTTGGAACTTTAATTTGATATGCTTAAGCAGGCAATTACTTTAGCGCTTAAATCACTATTTCCTTTCGCGTTATTAATCCATGAGATTTTTATTTCGTATGGTGGCTTTAATTTGTGAGATCCTGGTTTCTTCCTTGAAATTATTGTATGAGAAATTGATTTTCTTCTCTGGTTTAAATCCAGTTTAACACTCCTCAAGCTTGGATACAATGGTTTGAAACATAATGCTTTTTAATCTCCATGTAACACATTTGCTAGCTATCGAACATAGGGTGTGCAGTCGAGCCGCTGTCTGTCTTTTGTCAATGAAGTCTCCTCTTATGCTTCGTTCAATTGTGTTGCATTGGTCATAAGCTATGCTGATTGTTCTAACAAATTCTCATTGGACCATCTAAATCTTCAAATTCTCCCGAGTGGTTTTTACCATAATAATTTATAAGCACTCTATTTCATTATTTTAACTTTTCTCAAACACTCGATATTGTTTTCACATTTTGCTTCATAATTTTTCTTGTTACAAAGTTCCCGCCTAGAAAATGCAATATTCATTTTCTATCCATGATAAATCCAATGTAATCGACATTTATATGTGCCATAAGTATTCCATTCCCTGGTGCTTCTTTTATGCACTACAATACTTGATATGCAGCTTGCATGTGGATTTTCTACGAGGCTGCTTATCATACCAATAACATAAGCCATACACGGGCTTTTGTGGGAGAAATAAATTAGCCTTTCCACCATGTGTTGATACATCTGACTATCCACTGGAACCTTCTCCTTAGCTTCAGTAAGCATGTGATCAAGATCTATATTGTTGTACTTGTTAGTTGACCTGCTAATTTTCTTGTTTCTTGTAAGAGTACATTGACATAATTTTGTTGGAAGATAAATTTCTCTTTTGGGGTGTGCGAATTATTCTGGTAGGCAGGACTTCAATCTTGACAAAATATTGCCTCTAAATATTCCTTATTTAAGCACATGTTATGAATGCACAAAGGAGTTTTTTTGAACAATTCATTTTTTGGTATCAGAGCCTAACCCTAGCCGACGCTAGGGATCGGCTTACATAGACCCGCAACTCAACTCACTGGAGAAGCCAACGACTTAGCGGGAGCTGCGATGTCAACGTGTGAATCGTGATTGTATTAGAGTGAAGGTAACAACGGGATCACGATTGCAATCACTATACAGTTCCGACTCGCGTATCGCTGGAGATGCCAACGACATAGAGGGAGCTACGATGTTGACACATGAACCCTCAATGATTGCGGTACAAACACGATTAGAGGGAAGGCAACAATGGGGTTAGTGTGAACCACCATGATACATTCACAATTATCGCTAACCTTGGAGGACACGACGTGATGACACACTCAAGATGCGATCACTGATGTGATCGCAACGTACAAACGCCAATGATCAAATTCATATGTTTTCCATGTGATATAGACTTGGATCCTTGCGATTGAGGATGTCAGGAGACGAAGATAGTGTGAGAGGTAAATGATTGGAGCTTCTAGGGAATATAGATCCTGAAGTTCTGAAGTTTTTGGTCGAGCTCATCCAGGTAGGTAACGTCTTGATCGGTGCCGCTACCTCAACACTTGTTCCGATGTTGGTGAAACTAGATCTCCCTCTTGTGGATCTGAAACATAACGGACCAACCACATATCTAAGTTGGTCACGTTAGATCAAGGTTGCTTTAGTAGGGAAAAGAGTTGAGGGATATCTGAAGGGGTCGGGCCAAAAGTGACAGTGCTGAGGGGATAAGCAGAGGACCACACACCGAATTTACACTTGACTAATCAACTTGATGGCTCTGTCAATTGCATCCTTAATATATAAAATTTTAAAGGTGAGGAACATCTGGGCATATAGCTGAAGATGATTTATGCTGAGACTGAGAACCACATGAGAGTATTCCAGATTTAACGTGATATAGAGACGATGATTCATGGTGATAGATCAATTTGGGAATTTTCCATAAAACTGGAGCCGCTGTTTGCAGATCCTAATCATTTCTCATGGATGTCGATCTTTGGCAATTCAGAGTGCAAGATAGAGGAGATTTTTGTACAGATAAAAACTATGCAGTTTTTGGTTCATCTGAACCTTACTTTTGATCAGAGGAGAGGAGATCTATACTCATAACTTAGACGACTATTCCTTCATTGGATGAGCCCATTACTGCGATGATATAGGAGTGTCGCATGAAGCTACACTCTAAGCTAAGTGGACTTCTGGGTGCGCTATCAGCTTTGACTGCCTCGAGCTCAGACATGATATGTGTTCAGGAAAAGACTCACAAGTGATACAATTGTGGTGAAGTCGGGCATCTGAGCAAGACCTGTCTCGGGCCACCAAAGGAGAGAGAGACAAGTGAACGTGGGAGACCGTGGTAGTTAAAAAGGGTTGAAAAGGGTTCTATCAAACAAATCTGATGGTAGCAGAGGAGGAAGAGACATGTATGGTTACCAATGAGGATTATGAGTGTATGGAGTTGTTGAAGAGGAAACAGAAAGTAGCAGGAGATAAGGCTGATGATGCTTCCAACTAGTCATCATTGAAGGGTAACATTGTCACTTATGCTTACTCTGACAAAGGTATTTTTGATACACATGCTTTTGCCTCTATTTTCATCATAAGATCATCATAATGAATAATAGATTCTGGTGCATCACGACATGTGACATATATTGCTAGAGTGTTTTATTCTTATACTCCTCTAGCAGTACTAGAGAGCATCCAAATTGCTATTGGTACAGCACAACCTGTATTTGGTAAGGGTACATGTCAGTCAACTTTTTGATGATTTGAAAATATTGAATATGAAAATAATTTTTGAAATTTAATTCAATATAAGAGATATATAGTTTGGGTTTTGAGAGTAGTATATTTTAGTTTTAAAAAAAAAGAGACCAAATGGATCTCATTCGTCCAATAATTTGCATAATCACATTTCCGAAAGATAAGTGTAGATCTCGGCGATAGACCCAATCCTGCGAACTAAGAGATTTGTGATATCCTTTTGAACCTTTTATGTGTGACCGACAAGTTCCCCTATCTAATACAAAGATTAAATAAAATTTATTTTACCTGGGTTCCAAGTTCCCTATAGAGTCAAACCTCTATAGTTAATCCTCTATAGTTAATCTCTATAGTTAATTACATCTCAAATGATTGAGGTTACTTGTGAAAACTCTCGATAATGATCAGAGATACTAGTCTTCAAGATTTCAAAGTTTAGGTTTTCACGGTAAGACATGGAAAAACAAGTGAAAGTGACTCAAATTGGAACAATTATTTTTAAGAGCCAAAAGAAGGAAAGGTAGGGGATGTCACAGATCCTGAGGAGAAACCTCGGTGACTTCCCAAACTATTCTAATGTGTGGCTGAGTTTTGTAGACGATGTTATTTAGGTAGTATTTAATCCTGCCAATTCCTGCCAATTTTATTATTTGAGACTTATATTTGCATAATATCCGATTATGTAAATAACCCGCAAAGATAAGAGAGTTTACGTCGTAACAAACAATAATCTCAGAACCTAAAGCAAATTAGGACTTATACTGCACAATATTGTTGCACAGGTGCCTAAAGAGGGTATGAGGATTTACGCCGCGCTAGGCGAGCTACTTCGAAGTCCTAGGGGTTGCTATTTAGACCAAGGAGAGAGTTTAACTGATGTAGACTTGTTTTGCTGTTGTAGAATGACGACCACCTCCACCTGTAGTCCGCTCCAAACTCCATGTCGCGCTGCCCATGAAGTTGCTCCAAATTCCTTGTCGACACGATAGCTCCAGAGTTTAAGTGTTTGAGATTGGTGATTTATGTTTCACAGTTTTGGTGTCAATATTTGGTTTTGTTTTATTTCGGTTTTTGTTTTACATGCAAAAAAAACAAATTGCAAGTAAATAAAAGGTGCTTTGAGAAGTAAAATGCGGTAAAGTAAAATGCTGTAGATAAAATGTAAAAGTGCACTTGAGCATCTGTTGCTATTGCGTGATTAATATTACGAGCATAATATGACTTGCGATAGATTTAAATAAACTTGCAAGAAAAATAAACAAGACCAGAAAACCCAACACGAAAGTCAGAAAAATGAGTCGTAAAAATCACGAGCAAAAGAAACACTTAGCCACATATGAAAGACCAGGACTGGGTGTAAGCCGTTGGTAAAAGTGGGGGCTCAGAGTTGGATTGTGTGCTTCTTGATTTTGAACAAGAGTTACCAATCCGACAATCTACAGAAGTCAGTTCTTAATCTCAACCCAAGTGACTAGCCGTTGACCTTAATAAATTTTCGTAGAAAAATTCTTTTATTTTCATGCAGAAGTTATTGTTTAAGTCTTTTTTATGCAGAGTTCTTTTTAGCATGCAAAAGAAATTCTTATTTTATTTTTATAAATATTTTGTAAAGTATAAATATTTTGTAAAGTCGTATATAAATATTTTGTAAAGTCGTATAGTCCACAAACTAGCCACTCTAATCGTGCTAGAACTACTGACAACCTAAGAGGGGCAACGGCAACGATCTCACGAAGAATCGAGGAATAGTATCATGGATCTTTCCCTCTCCCTTATTGAAGATCCT